GCTGCTGTGCGCGCGGTGGATGAGTCGCCGGGTGGCCCCTGCGGGAGCGCGCCCTCCTCCCCGCGGCGCGGGCCTCGGCGATCGTCGTGGTCTTGATGCTCTTCTAGCGGCCTCCGTGGAGGCGAGTGGCCGTGTTAGTGCGGTCAGCGCCGGCTGCGGTCCCGTCCCGGGGACCTGCCACTGTGACTGAACAATGGGGACCCCGGGCTGCGGCGCGGCGGCGGGCCTGGCCAGTGGAGAGGCCTGGCCTGGCCGAGGAGAGGCGGCCTCGGCGCGCTGTCCCCCAGCCTTGGGCCTCGTAGGGGTATGGCCCCCACGGCCAGGCCCTGAGATCGGGCCGGGGGCCCGAGGGGCGGCGGGGCACCAACTGTCCCGGACATTTCAGTAGGGAAGGGCTGCTCTCAAAGTGGATTATTCCAACTACCCCGGGGGTGGCCCAGGGGTATTCTCCCCGAGCCGCAGATCCTCGGTGAAGACAGCGAAGCAAAATGAAGATGACCAGAAGTCCATTTCCTCAGAGCAGTCCCCCAACTGCTTCGGCTTTGTCGCCTACTCCATGAACAACCCAGGAGAGAAATCGCGAGTTACGATGAAGACCGCAAGCCACCAGCATGCGTATTCCGGCCCGTCCTGGTATGATCGCTCTCTGACTCCCTCGTTCTCTCCCGCTGCCTCTCCGGGCTCCATTCCCTCGCCACATTCGACTCCCTCGTCCCGGAGCATGTTCCAGCCAGAGCCGGACAAGGAGGGCAGGCACGAACGCCACTCCAAAAAGAGAAGGTCCAAAGAGTGCAACTTCAACGATCCGCTTGACCTTCTGTGGCTGGGGTGAGTGAGGAGACCGGGAGGAGGCTCTCCAGCCAGCGGCAGCTGCAGAAACAGCTCAAAACGGCAGGACCCTGTGTTCCTCCTCACCGGGTCAGCTAGGCACGCGGTGGCATCAGGTGATACAGTAAACAACTAGGCTGTTGGCGACCAACTTGTGTCACGGAAAAGAGCAGAAGATCCAAGATCATCCCCCACCCAGGCTGATGGGAGGAAGTGGGCTTGGTGTCTGGGAGGAAAGCCGGAGACTGGGTTGTGTAGCTTTTATTGGGAGCTGTGAAGGGATCGGGGGGATTTGTTCCTTCTGGACTTAAGAAGCGGGTGTGGGGGTGAGGGTGGGATTTGATCCACCGAGTCTTCTAAGACGGTAGGCAAAGGGCGACTTGAGAGGCGAGTTCCTCTTCCCCAGGGGAAGGGCGAAGATTTTGGAAGAAGCTGATGTTTTCAGCTGGGTAAACATGGACGGTTGCCCATAGAAACTTTGTCATTGTACTTGAGTTGCCCAAGTCATAGGAGGAGAACAATATGTTCCCTTTTGAACCACCCCTGGCCACCGAGGGGGGCGGGGAGGGGAGGGAGCAATAGAACCGATTCCTCTTAGGTTTTGTGGCTGCAGAGTGTCTTCTTTTCCGAGGTGTTGTGGTGTTGGCTTGCAGTTTCTAGCAGGCGTCGGCTTTTGAAACTGCACATCTTTTTCATTTATGAGTGGGAATCCCCTCATTCCTTGAAAAGCTCTCTAGTGGGAGTCTCAGCATGTCATTCTCAAACTTACCTTCTTGAAGTGAGAATTTTGGCTTTGACTGATGGAAATGATGGCAGCATGCATCTTAGGATCCAACTTGGATCAGCTATTTTTTAATCTGGGTGACTATAAGGACGGCAGCTCTTTTAGGCGCCACCAGCCTTTTAAGCCTGGCTAACCCCCTTGTTTTATCCTACCTACTATCTAAATGTGAGGTCCCCCCCCCCCCCCCCCCGCCCCCAGGGTTTGGAGGAATCTTCAAAACGGGTTTTTTATTGACATGCCCACTAAGGATGCCAGGCAAACGGAAGACTCACCCAGAGACCATGGCCGACAAGCCTTTCTGTGGCTGGATTTTGTTTGTCTTAGAAGACCACGTCTGTTCTGTAAATTTGTGTTTCTGAACTTCTGTGTCTTTTGTTTTGGGTTCCCTCCCCTCCTCCCCAGTGTCTTAGTATAAAAATAAATAAATAAGTAAAACCAGTTCCCTGCCATGGCCACACTGAGAAAATAAAGCTTAGCCCTCAAGATTCTAGCTTGAGGAAGCTTATAAGGAGGTTTTCGTCTAACATAAATCTTTAATCCCCCCGAAAGCAGAGTAATAAATAGACCCTTGAAGTGTGTAACTTCCGAGGGGAGGGGGTCACCACTCCCTCTGTGACTTCTTGATTTCATTGTCCTTATAGAGGGATTCCTTTTGGAATTGGTGTTCTTCATTTATTTATTTTCTTTTTCTCACCAGAGCAACTTCCACCATGTCCACCTCGGCGAGTTCCCACTTGAACAAAGGCATCAAGCAGATGTACATGTCCCTGCCTCAGGGTGATAAAGTCCAAGCTATGTACATCTGGATTGACGGTACTGGAGAAGGACTGCGATGCAAGACCCGCACCCTGGACAGTGAGCCCAAGAGTATAGAAGGTGAGCAGAGTGGGGAGTCTGTGCTGGGTGGGCAGCCTGAGACCAAGCCACTAGATTGGGCCTCTTTATTGTTCTGTTTGGAAAGCTTTTCTAAGGCAGGGCTTTTCAGACTTTAGTCACTCAACATTAAGCTCTTACACTGCCTCCAAGCGTGGCCACAATGGGCTCCTTTATTTCAATGAAATCTTGTGTGTAAGTCAGTATATATAAGACAAAAAATAAAGTCTGGTTGGGGGGGTAAAAGGGGGCTGGATTCTTTGCGGACTTGGGTAGCCTTTCGTTGGCTTAAGGCCCCCCCAGGAACCCAGTTTGTTAACCATTGCTCTAATCTGACTGAGACATCTACTTTACAAACTCTTTGAATACTGTTTTGAACTCATATCATTGGGGTTCTAGATGCGAAGTCAACACCCTAAAGTGCTTTCTTAAAAGGACCAGCCATTCATGTGTTTTTAACGGATGACACTTTGGGATTTTTTTTTAATATATATATATATATATTTTTTTTTATGGATTTCAGAGAGAAAGGGAGAGGGAGAGAGAGAAACATCAACGATGAGAGAGAATCATTGATCGGCTGCCTCCTGCACATCCCACACTGGGGACCAAGCCTGCAACCCAGGCATGTGTCCCACCTGGGAATCAAACCATGACCTCCTGGTTCATAGGCCAACACTCAACCACTGAGCCACACCAGCTGAGCCACTTTTGGAAATTCTTAAATAATCTGATTACTTGTTCCACTAACAGTCATTATATGAGTTGTAGCCTTTTTTTTTTTTTGGTCTAGACTAGGGAAGCCATCGCCCTCTTCCTTCTAGAAAAAGGGATCAGAGAACAACTGTCACCTCTTACCTACTTTTAGGATAGCTGCCTCTTCTGATAACTTGACATTTGAGTGAATGAGTGACCATAATATAAAACATTCTTTGTGTATCTGCTATGCGGCAGGTATTAGAAAGACTTTGGGGATACAGGTAAGAGTTTGGTTTGTGCCTTCGGAGAACTCAGTCCGCTGGAGAGAGGAAGAAACCGGCCTTTAAGCATAGTGGAAGAAGTGGATAAGTGTTGTGGTAGCATCCTTGAACAAGTCATCCTCCTGGTCGTCTGTTTCCTCATCTATAAAATAAGGACAGACCATAGACCCAGTCAGGGAGCGGGTGATGAAACAGAGAAAGAAGAAACACAGATGGTCTAGTGGGGGAATTGAGAATCCTTGTTTCTCCTATTTCAATATTTAAAATGATGACTGACTGCTGATGTCAGAATATTTCCATTTGTCTCCTTGGTGTCCAGTGGTCTTATTAAGGGAAGAACCATCATTCTTAGGTTGTCCTTGTGACTGTTATTTCGTTAAGGAAGTGATGTCAGGGTCTTACTAGAACTCAGAACTGTAGGGCTATGTGCACAGGGTCACAGTGCGTATTAATAGTGGCAGACATGCATCACTCGCTTTCTGGAAATGAGAGTGTAGAGGGTGAGTGAAGGGCTGTGTGCTGCCTGGAAAGCTGTGCATTTTTAACTTAACTTTCCTCTCTTTTTACCCCAGAGTTGCCCGAGTGGAATTTTGATGGCTCTAGTACTATGCAGTCTGAAGGCTCCAACAGTGACATGTATCTTGTTCCTGCTACCATGTTTCGGGACCCTTTCCGCAAGGACCCCAACAAGCTGGTGTTCTGTGAAGTCTTAAAATACAACCGCAAACCTGCAGGTGTGTATAGGATAGATATGGATACCCCCACCCCAATTCATGAATGGAAGAAAGGAGAGGGAGAGGCTATTGCCAAATTAGTAATGGACTGTCTCAATGTTTTAGGAGTCGGGGGAGGGGGAGGAGTTGGGGGTTGAATGTGCATCTCCACCTTGAACTTCCTCATTCCAAGTGGTAAAGTGGGCCATCCTCCCATGGTCTCTTGTTGGTTGCATAAAATTGAATTCTTCTAAGTCCCTTTGCTGGTGGAGTCCCCCGTGACACAGTCCGGCCTGCACGCCTGTAGATTTTAAGAACATGGTTCTGAAGTTAGAACGTTGGGTTTGAATTTGGGATCTGCCACTTCTTAGCTATGAACTTGGGCAAGTTACTTATCCCCTATCCTTCATTCCCCTATCCTGATTTTAAAATGAGTAATAAAATCCATCTCCTAAAGTCGTTTGAAGGATTAAATGAGTTAATATGTGCAAATAATCAAGAGCAGTTTGACATCAACTATCGGTGGCTGCTTCATTCCAGACATCTTGTTTTCTTCCTTGTCTGTCCACTGACTGAAGTATGAGCCTCTTGGTTCATTGATAACATACGTTTACCTCGAGGTTTGCTGTAACTGCACCTTTGGGTTTCGTCAGGCATGCCTATCCTTCCCAGTTCACGGCCATTCATCTTTTTAAACTCAGCTGAAATCTCACTTCTGTGTAGTCTCTTGCTACCCTTTGGCATTGAGACTTTTTGGCAAGTCACTTAGTTTTGTAATGCCTTTGTTTTGAGAGCCTGTATCATTGTGGTAAAGGGCGTGAGCTCTGATGGCCAAGACAGTCATGGGTTTCCTGGCTCTGCTGCCTGCCTTGTAACCTGGGCAGCCACCTAATATCTCAGCCTCATTTTCTCACTTGTAAAGGTAGAGATGTCTAATACCCTTCTCAGGGTGGTTAGGAAGACTCGGTTGTGGATTTTGTTGATGCAGACCGTTTAAAATGGGTCCCGGGGCATAGTTAAGCAGTCAGTACGTCTGTATTTACTTATTTTAAAGTTCCCATCTTGCTTAGAAATTGTTTCCAGTTGAGCTCATCTCATTGTAACGTTTTTCTTTTGCACTATCCAATTCTTTATAACTCATCTTCTCACCCGAAATGAATTCAAGGCTCCCAATACACAAGTGATTCAATAAAAATTGTAGGTTTGTTTTTAAATGCCCAAGAAACTAGAACTAGGTCGGGCTGTACAAGCGGCTGTCTCGTGAATAGACAGTGTAAGTGCCTGGCGTTGGGTACTTACGAGGCGGCCAGCATGCTGATAAGGTGAACACTTGCCCTTTCCTGGAGCCACTGTCTTGTGACTTGATTATAACAAATTTTTGGGGAACCTCCCTACAAGTGTTTAATTAGAGCATCTCCCATTTTCCTCTTTTACACCAATGGGACCCAGCAAGGTAAACAGGGCCAGTTTAGCTTTCTCTCAACACTTTGGCTGCGTGGATTCGCAAGAACTTCTTTTTTCCCCACCAGCACCGAGATTCAGTATATTTGTCCAGATGTCTCTAAAGCAGTGGTTCTCAACCTTCTGGCCCTTTAAATACAGTTCCTCATGTTGTAACCCAACCATAAAATTATTTTCGTTGCTGCTTCATAACTGTAATGTTGCTACTGTTCTGAATCGTCATGTAAATATCTGATATGCAGGATGGTCTTAGGCGACCCCTGTGAAAGGGTCGTTCAACTGCCAAAGGGGTCGCGACCCATAGGTTGAGAACCACTGCTCTAAAGGATTGTTGTCTCTTTTTTTTTTCTAGAGACCAATTTAAGATATACCTGCAAACGGATAATGGACATGGTGAGCAATCAGCATCCCTGGTTTGGAATGGAGCAGGAATATACTCTCATGGGCACAGATGGGCACCCTTTTGGCTGGCCTTCCAATGGCTTCCCTGGACCCCAAGGTAAGTCTCCTGGGTGAGAGGTGAACTTGGCTCCTCCCCAGCTGCTTAATTGGTGAGGAAAGTCTCTTTCCCCAGAGATGGCAGTGACTCCTTGTGGATCAAAAAGCTATGGGAGTGTCCCTGAGACTTGCTGGAATGATACTGTGCCCTCACGTTACCCAGACCCAAACATAGATGTTTAGCCATTGATACTGGGGGGAAACCTTTGGCTCCACTGAGGAGCCCCCTGCCCTACTGCCCTACTGCCAGGTGAAGGTAGGGACAGTGATTCCGGAGAGCCAGTGTTAGTAGAGCTTTCTGATTGCTGACCTTGGGCTTTGCATCTTAGGTGGAAATGGGGGGTGTTCTGGATTTCCTCTCTCGACATTTCGTCTTGATGCCTCTACAGGTCCATACTACTGCGGCGTGGGAGCAGACAGAGCCTACGGCAGGGATATTGTGGAGGCTCACTACCGGGCCTGCTTGTACGCTGGCATCAAGATCGCAGGGACAAATGCCGAGGTCATGCCTGCCCAGGTAAATGGCTCTCATCCGCCGCTTTCCCCATCACTAGGCAAGTAGAGGCTTTTTGGTAGCAAGGGCTGCTGATGCTCCCCTCCTTAACCCAAAACCTAAAAGGTTGGATGGACTAGAGGAGGGAGAAGGGAGCGGGTTTCAGAGTGGGGTGAGTGGGGTGAGCAGTTGGCTTTATATTCAAGGCCAACCTTCTTGTTCTCTAGTGGGAATTCCAAATAGGACCCTGTGAAGGCATCGACATGGGAGATCATCTCTGGGTGGCCCGTTTCATCTTGCACCGAGTGTGTGAAGACTTCGGAGTGATCGCAACCTTTGATCCCAAGCCCATTCCCGGCAACTGGAATGGTGCAGGCTGCCACACCAACTTCAGCACCAAGGCCATGCGAGAGGAGAACGGTCTGAAGTGAGTGCCTTCTCCTGCTGGGGCCGTCTTATTTCTGTGCGAGAAGACTTGCCAGGGGCGTGATGTATTGGGGATGAGTAAGCCAGACTTCTTAGTTCGGACCTTAGCTTTTGCCACTTGGCCTCAAAAACTGTCTACTAATCCTGTGGTCCTGTTCCTATTTGAAAAGTGTCAAAATGACTCCAGGAATAGGACTCAAGGGTGGCAGTAGGGAAAGTTGACAGAGCTTCATGGCATGTGAAAATCTTTAATAAGAACTAAATTAGTAACAGTACAGGCATGTGAATGAACTTCATGCTTATGGGTGAGAGAAAGTCTGGGATCTTTTCATTCAACAAATGTCATGTACTGGGTGTCTGGCACTATTTCTGAGCACTGGGACAGGCCAGGAACAAGGGGAACATTTGCTCTGCTGGAGCGATGTGGAGGTGAATTGGAAACTGGGAAAAGTCTTTGAGAGATAAGTCACTCCATTCTTGAATCCGTACCTGCTCCTGCCCCTGAAGGACAGGTTTCCTGGGGACAGGTGGACGGACCCTCATCTTCTCTGTTTCCTCTAGGTACATCGAGGAGTCCATCGAGAGGCTGAGCAAGCGGCACCAGTACCACATCCGAGCCTACGACCCCAAGGGGGGCCGGGACAATGCCCGGCGCCTCACCGGATTCAACGAAACCTCCAACATCAACGACTTCTCCGCCGGCGTGGCCAACCGTAGCGCCAGCATCCGCATTCCCCGGTCTGTGGGCCAGGAGAAGAAGGGGTACTTTGAAGACCGGCGCCCCTCTGCCAACTGCGACCCCTTTGCAGTGACAGAAGCCCTCATCCGCACGTGTCTTCTCAACGAAACTGGCGATGAGCCCTTCCAGTACAAAAACTAAGTGGACTAGACTTGCAGCCATCCAGCTCCTTCTAATTACTTCTTCATCCCGCTCCCACTCTCGCCCCTCGATTGTCATAACAAATGTAACTCAAAAGGGCAGAATATCAAGGTCTTTTTTTATTCCTCCTGCCCAGTTAATATCTCTTGCTTTCTTTGGCCAGGTTAAAGGGGTCAAGTTCTTAGACTCTTCACACACACACACCCTTTTTTCCCCTATCACTAAAGCTTTCTAGTGTGTTAGTGGGGAGGGGGGCGGGGAAACATAACCACTGCTTCACTTAATCAGGTGTTTGTCCAACAGGCGTAGCTATCTGGACAGTGAGCATAGTATTTGTGAAGGGAGGGGAAGGGCCTTTTTCTTCTTGGAGGTAGCTGAAGGGGGTAGGAGTGCTGGGCGTGCTCTGTGACTAGGTTAGAAACTCCCTTTGGTTGGGAAGTTCCATAAAAGGTTATAAGCAGCTTTCTAATGAAAGTGAGAATTAGGAAAGGGGGGGGCAGGGGCAGCAGGCAGGAAGCCCTCTTACCTGCCAACTGTGACCCCTTCGCAGTGACCTGCTTCCCTGGCCTGGGGCTGAGTGCCCTCACTGGAAGGCAAGCTCAGCATAAAGGGATGGGTGGGTAGCCCTACCTTCGAAGAAAAAGTTCTCGTTGCTTGGTCCTCCGTTTATAACACAAATCAGAGTAGTATTTTTATATTTAAATGCAAAAACAAAAAAATTATATATATGGGTGTGCAGATCTGTGTGCTTTTTCTCAAGGACAAAAACCGTTCTGGTCGCTGGGAGCCAAAGTTGAGGCGAGAAGTCTGATTAGAAATAAGGCTCACCTTTTGAGGGGAGGGGGTGAGGGTGGCAGTGCTTGAAAAGTTGGCTCTTAGGGGCTGTTAAAGCCTCACTACCATTTAAGGGTTTCTCTGTGCCCTGCCTGCCCTTCTGGACACGGGTTGGCTAACAGGAGCAAATAGCAGTCACCCGAGCCCCTTGGCTTTGGATTATAAAGACACATGTATGCACAGGGGTTTAGAATTATGAGTTGGCTGGTCAACTTGAGCATGTATGTTACTGACAAGGGGGGTATTGGGTTATTTTCTGGGGGACTAGCATGTCACTAAAGCAGGCCTTTTGATATATTAAAAAAAATTTTTTTTTAAAGCAAAACCAGTTTAGATTTTAATCATATTTGTAGGGATTTGAAGTCTCTTACAGAATTGCTTGTTTGCTTCCACTGTCTCCTTCCTGTCTGCCCCTAGAGGGGAGGGGGACAAGACTGGGGTTAAACACTTGTAATTTTGTATCCTGGTGTCTGTTCTGAGTGTGAAATATTCCTTTTCGTTCGTTAAGATACTGAGGAGTTATTTTTTTCTTTTATAATAAAAAGCAAACAAACCCCACCTTCATCCCTACTGTTCCTGGCTGTTTTTGTGTTGGCTGGGGCAGCAAGCTGGCTGTGGTTTTTTTTTGCCATGACGACTTCTCATTACCATGTACAGTATGTTCAGGGTTAGATAACTCCTCGTTGTAAACAAACTGTTAACTGCCCAGAGCAGCTCTAAATCAAGCTAACATTTATATCTTCTGACTTGCTTCTTTTAAATCCCTGTGTGCCATTTTATTCCCTCTCCTACCAAAAAGGGGGAGGGAGGGGCATGAGTATTTAAGAGGCCAAATAAGTTCAAGTTTACCTGTTCTTGGAATTAAAAATCGAGTCATATTGCTGAACAACCCTTCCTTGTACTTTGGGTATTTGGCATCTCTGGATGAAGGCATATCTCAGCCCTAGAGACATAATAGGGTACAACCCTCCACCCCAACCCCTTGGCCTCAGAGCTGGGCTTTGACCTACCACACTGAAACGTTGTTTTGAACCACTCCTCTGCCATAATTTTATAGCAGCCTGAAGTATTTGTGTTGTTAACTGGTCTCGATTTCATCCTCTGCCCAGCTGCCAGTGATTCATCTAAATGGCAAATATTGACCGCGTTGCTATCCTGGTTAAAGCCTTCCGAGGCTGGGTGTGCTCAGGGTCAGCCAGCCCACATATGCCCTGGATGGGCCTTCCCTTGCACTAGACCAGTGGTCGGCAAACTGCGGCTCGCGAGCCACATGCGGCTCTTGGGCCCCTTGAGTGTGGCCACGAAGTTTCAATTGCACTGTATGTGCGCACCCGTACGTGGTATTTTGTGGAAGAGCCACACTCAAGGGGCCGCAGTTTGCTGACCACTGCACTAGACCAGAGAGCTGCCTATGATTCCCCAAAAGCTCATGTTACACCTCCGTGCCTTTGCTCTTGGTCCCTTTACCTGGAAGTTCTTCCACCTTATCCTGGCTCATTCCTGCCTTAGTTCATTTCTACATCAGGCTGGGTAGGAGCTCCCTCCTGCTCCATAGTGTTGTACGCATTTCTAGCAAAGCCACTTATTCATCCAACACTTGAACCTAAAATGTCAGGTATTGTGGCCAGTAGTAATCACTACACTTTGTTCATATTTCTGTTTTTAAAGGTGATGTCCTCAGTCAGTTCAGAGTTAACTGGGGCCTGTTACAGCGAACAAATGAGTTTTCTTTGGGCAGGTGACTAGTTTGCTCCAGTCTTCCGTATTTTTTTTAGATTTTTCTAGGATGGTTGGCTCCAGGCACAATTTGATTTTCAAAGTAGGATGGATGATCTTACCTATGAGTTTGCTGGGTCTAGTCCCAGTTTGCACCTACTGTTTCAGCATGATTATTAAGAGTGCCCCCCTATCAGTGTCTTCCTGGTTTCACTGATAAATTACTTGGTGGTTCTTATTTCAACTGAAGCTCTTGGTCTTCTCGGCTTCTCTTCGCTGGGTCAGCCTTGCAGTGCTTGGGGTAGACTCTGCACAGCGCAAGGCCTAGATTGAGGCAGTGACTTGAGCACTTTGATTTTTTGCTCATTGAAACCAATTCCCTGACGAAGATTACGTGACAAAGAATTCTAGAGTAATTTGATCAGAATTTAGGTGGAAGCAACAAGGGTATTTCCTTCTCTACCCTACCCTCCTGCCTAGAATTCGATGTGACCTGCAGGTCACAATGCACTTCTCTTGTATTTCAAAGGTGTTTTTTATAGCTCATTTAACAGACACTGGGTTACATGATAACTTTATCAGTGAGATTAAACAATGACAGCCAAGCCTTCAGCCTTAAAGAGACAGAGGCCAACATTCACAAAAGGAACTCTCCATGTTAAACATAAGTTCCCTTCATTTCATCCTGCCAGTCATAGGAGAAGAGCTGAAGGATGACTGCACAAGCTAACAGGAATGCCAGGGAGCTAAGAGAAGATTCCTAGGAGTCCCTTGGATGGTCACTGCTGGGTGCTCCCAGGTAGAATGGCACACTGAGTGAATGAAAGAAGTTTCTAAGCGAATGTTTGATTCTGGGGCTTCACCAATCTCATCAAAGGCTGCTCTTAGGTAATTCCTGCTACTGCCCGGCCCTTATACCAATAAGGCGCAAAGTCTGCCAAGTAACTTGCTGTCCCAAAGAAAGCTCATCACTCAATAGAACTTTCTGACAACTCCGTGAAGGCAGGAATCCTGCTTTTCTTTCTCAGGACTGTATCCCCAGACCTGTCACATTGCCGACAGTCCTTGCTTAGTAAATTACTGTTCAGTATCAGATTTGTGAGCTCTATGCCTGCAACTAACTCTATCGGGTGGTGTCAAACCCTCCAACAAGAGGTCTTAGTGCTTTGGCTGTGTTTTAACCCCAGTCATGGCACTAAGCAAAGTTCTGTTTCCCTGGGCTTTTAATGACTCTGCTGTCTTGGTTAATTCTGGTCGAGGTGTGCTGCCAGGAGCCTCGTGTTGCTTTATGAGTTATAACTAATATAAAGTGGCAATTCATCATATAATTCCGGAGGCTCCAGGTACATTGCTACTGTAAATGGCTGGAGCTGATCAGAGCCCTGGCATTTTATAGCTTGTAGTTCAATCACCGGCACTCATTTTTTAAAATGTCATATTTGAGCCCAGCCGGCATGGCTCAGTGGTTGAGCATTAACCTATGAACCAGGTCACAGTTCGATTCCCGGTCAGGGCGCATGCCCAGGTTGCAGGCTCCAATCCCCAGTGTGGGGCGTGCAGGAGGCAGCCGATCAATGATTCTCTCTCATCATTTCTATCTCTCCCTTCCTCTCTGGAATCAATAACAATATATATATATTTTTAAATATATTTTATTGATTTTTTACAGAGAGGAGGGAAGAGGGATAGAGAGTTAGAAACATCGATCAGCTGCCTCTTGCACGCCCCCTACTGGGGATGTGCCCGCAACCAAGGTACATGCCCTTGACCGGAATCGAACCTGGGACCCTTGAGTCCGCAGGCCGATGCTCTATCCACTGAGCCAAACCGGTTAGGGCAATATATTTTTAAGTCATGTTTGATTTTATAATATTCAGATATATGTACAATATAAACATACTATATTTAGGTATACACACACACACACACACACACACACAATAGGTACATAACACAGGTATCCTACATGAACGTTTTGCCAAGGTTATAGTATCTTATAAAGGAGAAAGGAACCTAGGAATATCTCTTCCAGAAGCTATACACAAAAACGAATTCATTGGGTTGGGAACCTGTCACTAGGAACAAGGAGGCGGAGCATAGAAGTTACGATAATTGTTAAAGCATGGCTCTACTGCCAACCCTTTCTAATTCTGCCCTTTCCAGGGCTTTATAGACAGAAGGTTCTTGGGCTCTGTCAACTATTTGTCTATAATTCATTCCTCAGAGCCCCTCTGATATAAGGGGGTGGATGATATCCTAGTCCCATGTTACAGAAAAAGTGTTCGTGCACTTCCTGTTATCATTTGATTAATTGCTTTTATAAGTGGCTGGGACCTCAGCAAGTTGTCCTCTTTCTCATGGGCCTCAGATGGACTTATTTGCATTGTCTTGAGATTGTAACTCACCTCAGCTTGCTCTGCTCCTCCACCACATGGCCTAGTCAGCAGACCTACTGACTTTAATAAAAATTCAGAATAACTGCTCCCTTGTGACCACATTATACTGCTCTATAGACATTAAATGGAAAAGGCATTCAAGATACTCCAAATTTAATAAATAAAATGGGGGCCAGCTGAGCACTATTGTTGGTGTTTTCGTGCAAGCCTATGGATGAAGAGGTCAAGTGAATGGAAATTCTTTTCTTCCTCTTCATGTCTCTACTCCTCCTATTGCTGCTGGAGGGGTACACACGTGGGAATCCTCCATTGTTTGTGGGGTTCTTGGGGCACTGCTGAAATCAGCATTTTCCCAGAAGCCCCCCACGGAAGGATGAGAGGCGGTAGAAGATTTTATTGGCATGATTGTAATGTCCCATTTCCCCTAAGCCAGTCCTGAAGAGGGGCATTGGGTGTTCAATAGAGTCAGCAACTAGGCCAGCATCCAGAGTTTCTGTTCCATGTTGCAGCCAGCTGTGGTTTAGCATTCAGGCCAGATTCAAGTCCATTAATCCACGTGTGAAATCCAACATGGTGGGGTGCCATGTGTGCACAGGGGAGCACCACCCCCTGCAGCAGGAGTCTCAAGAGGGCCCAGGTCCCTGGAGCCAAGAGAAAGAAGAAGGGCTGAACTTCCTTTGTTGGGGAGTTTACATATTTAGATTTTGAGCGCTTCCAGTGGCCATGCCCATCCTGGCCAATCACCTTTTTCCAGGTGTGATTGATAGGCAATTAGCCTCCCAAAGATTTCCATATTCTTGCCACAGCAATCCCAGGAGGGAACTCAAGGGGGCCACATTAATATTTCTGCCTTAATCAGGATCTGGACCCAGGGACAATGTTAAAATAAGTCACCCTGGGGACAATGTTAAAATAAGTCACTTCTAGAAGTACGAAAATATTTGTATGTCCCTGCCCTTTTGTCTACACAACTATTGAAAAACCAATAAACATTTCCAGGGGCTACTAAATGAATGCGGATATTGCAAAGTTTTTAGGAGAGTGCTGACTGAGAATTTCAGAAGTAGTGACAGAGGGTGGAAGGAATGGAAGATTCTTCCTCTAGTCCTCACATTATGTAACCATTGAGTTTCTCTCTACCAACACCCACTCCCTCCCTTGTCTCTGACATGTTTTTTTTTCTCCCCGGACTGAGTTGGTCTCAAGAGAGACTTAGATACACTTGGTGCACTTGGAACATGTAAGCCCTCTCCTGCTGATCCGCCTTGCAAAGAGTCCAAGAAGCCGAGAGGTGCCAAGCACCAGGTGTTTTCTTTTCACTCTGGTTTTGCCCAGCCTGGCATGGCAGGCAGCAGAGTTATTTTGCTTTTATAAGCCATATTATATAACTAAGATCTTGAACAGCGATGCTGAGCCAACTTAGAGGTCATAACAGAGTGGGGGGGGAGAACAATCAAAGAAATGGAGAGGGAATGGGAAAGAGAGCAAGGAAGGAGAAGGAGAAGGGAGAGAAGAAAAAATAGAGGGGAGAGTGGAGACTGAGGGAGACCATTTCATTTATTCTTGCTCATATGTTCTTGGTCTCCTGTGACGGGCTATGCAACCTGAAGAGTTCTTTAGCCCTCCTTTTAACTGGCGAGGGGGCAGCCTTTAGTTCACAGTCTGTGGAGGAGGTCCCTGAGTGCCAGCTGCCTGCAGGCATCACCCCAGGGCCCATTGGTGTCCCTGTTGGAGACTGCAGCAGCCTGGTGTGGTGCAGTACTCAGTGTTCCTTGTGGAAAACAAACAAGCAAGACATTGTCTCCATTCACCCAGCCTCCGTGCTGACTACATGAGCTGGTGAGTGAGGAAGCCCCAGTGGGAAGCCTTTTTTTCTTTTTCTTTTGAATTTCAGAAGATGATATAGCCCACTACAGCCCACTTCCAAGAAGTTGGATAGACATCAGGAGCAGAGGCCAAAGACAGGTGTTTTGTTTTTATTTTGTTTGGGGGAGGCAGCAAAAGTTATGCTCAGTAACTGAGTTTGTATTTGCCAGTAATTCATCTAGCACAGGTTCGCTTTCACAAGCCACTAGCATGCAGGATAATATTTCTGAATAAGCAAAATAAAGAAATAACATATTCCCAACAAATGACAGATTAATCACACTATAGTTCGAGGCAAGGGGAAGTGAAGAAATAGAGTCCACATTTAATATGATGTGTACCTTTATATACTTGGAGGCACCCAGGAGAGCCACTGTCCAACCAAGAGCTGATTTCCAGCTGCCAGCACAAAAGTAAAAGTACTCTGTTGCTAGGGCATGTTGCTAGGGAACAGAGACGCCAGTGCTGGTAGGCAGGCTGATCGCTTTCTAGCATATCACCACCATCCAGAAGAAATGTCTCGCCAAGACGCGAAAGAATGCCCCAAAGGTATTTGGAGGAGTTCTTAGGTTAGGGAAGGGTCACCTGGCCCAAACGGAAAGTCTCAAATATCCCTCACAAACTCTCAGTGTTTATAGCCTTAATGTCCCCTTGCCATAGTTGCTTCTCCATGTGTTCATTACAGATAAGACCCCAGTTGGACCCACAGATGGGCTGCTGACTGCTTATCAATGACAGCAGATGTAGAATGATGACATCATGACATGACTTACTTCATTCTTACATAACAGCGATGTGGGATAATGACATCCTGACACAACTCACTTCACACTTATATCAAAGCAACACTGGTTCTTCGTTCCCTAGCAACGTGCTGTAGCAACAGAGGACTTTCACTTTTTGACGCTGGCAGCTGGACATCAGCTCTTGGTTGGACTCTGAGTCTTCCTGGTATGAAAAGTATGGGTCCAGAGAAGAAAGAATCATTTGATGTGAGCCCCAGGTAGAAACTTATCTGCTGAGATGAACGCTTCATGGTCAACGGAGGGCCCACTTGCTGACAAGGACTCCTCCTGTACTCTGCATACAGGGAAGAATTTCAGACTGAAGTCTCCCTGCCCCCCCGCCCCCCCCCCCCACACACACGCGGGCACACACACACAAACACGGGCTCCCCCCCGCCGCCCCCCCAAGGGCTAAATACACAAAAAAAAAAAAACGTGTCTTTTGCCCGCACCTCACAAACAAGGACCATCAAACTCACACGCGCGGAATCTCAGTGACAAGCTCAAAAAAGAACA